GGAAGGAATTGGATTGTGGGATAAAGGTTGACATAAATTCTTTCCTGAAAGAAAATGAAACTGGTCTTCAAGCAAAATCCAGAAGGGTAAGACCCTAGTGTAAAACTACAAAATGTATTTCATATGAACACAAAAATATATGTATATAAAATCTAGAGTGGAAAAAATATATACTAAGGAAAAGACTCAAGAGTAACATGGTAGATATGCATAACTAAATAAAATTTCTTTTTTTAATGGTCAAAAATATCACCCTCAGGGCAACCAAATAGCTCAGTAGATTAAAGAGCCACAGGCACAGGGGCTGGAGATTCAATCCCTGGACCTGTCATGCAGGCCCCGCCCCCAGGGTGCATTGAGAGGGCAATTGAGACTGGGCAGGGTGACACGCACCTATAATCTCAGCTCTTGGGAGCCTATAAACAGGTGGTCCACTATGAGTCCAATCTCATAGTGAGACCCTAAACACCCTGTAGACCCTTTCTTAAATTTAAAAAGATCACCCTAAAAATCAATAGAGAAATAATAATTTGTAGATTTCTTCAAATATTAGAAACACTAAAAAATAAATAATAATCACAGGGAAATCAAAATGATGATAAATACATGAATACTTGCTCCAAGTCAGCAATGGTTTTCTTAAAACTAAAAGAAATATTTTTTCACACTCCAGTCTTGGTGGGACAGGGATCTAAAAAAACTATACATTGACTGTGGTTGCAATTATTGAACAGATAGAAGAAAGGTATTCTTTAATTTGGTAGCAGAAATGTAACTTACTAACATGCATTGCACAGACAATTTGAAGACATATAAAATTAAAAGTACAGATACGATTTAACTCTACATTTCTCAATTTCTACATAATTGACAGTCTGAGCCCAGAGGTTGTTTTTCATTTAAGCACTGTCCTGTGCATTTTAGGGTGTGTTGCAGCATTCTTGACCACTACTGACACCTTCCCTGGCTGACAACTAAAAATGTTTCTGAACTATTCTCAGTGCCAAATGGGGGAGAAAATCACTTCTGGTCAAGAACTACAGTTTGAACTTAGCAAGAAAAAAAGTACTCTTATAGCAAAGATATAAGAAGACAAGATAGGTCATATGCAAGAACATAACAACCACAGTAAATGTAAACATTATATGTCATAAATATGAGATAATAATAACAGCAAGAGTGAAAGTGTGGAAAGAAGATTTAGAAACAGGAGAGAGATGGGTGGGAAAGGTGAAAAGGCATATATATA